GCATTTATTACAATCTGGAAGAACAAGGTTATCTGTCCCCTGAAACGTTCAACATTTACAAAGGCATGGTATACGGGGCTTTTCTCAGGCCTGTGGAAACTGTCTCTCGCCTGGACCATTCGTGGATAGATCTGTCATTTCAGCAGAGCCTTCAACACAGGACGGATGTGGTTGGTCTTACTGTTATGTACAAGACCAATATTGTCAAAGTACCACACTTAGATCCACTTCGAGGACAGCGTGAAGCAAGTTTCTGTACCACAAGACGGGCAGCCAGGAGCAACTTCACTCTGGCTGTACCCTTCTCCAGAACATCACTTCATCTGAGTTCATGTATCCCCAAGATAACTCGAATCTGGAACACATTCGTACAGCATTGTGATGTCAACGAGATACAGTCAGTTGCTCAAATGAAAATGCTGGTCCACAGATGGCTCCAACTTTATCCTGTTCCCTACTTGTATGTCTCATAGCAATAAAAATGCTTTCAAATGAGCTGATGTAGTAAACAGCTCTTAGCTTGTCAATAAAGTTAGGAATCCTTAACCTGTATATAGTGTGTCAATGAAGCTAGGGATCCTTAACTTTACCTAGTCAAACCCTGTAAAAAAAAAAAAGATTCGTAGAGTCATACCATGAATTAAAGAAAGATCTTAAACCTCACCTTAAGAAGCAGAAAAATGAACATTTTATTACAAGACAGAGATACTTAGGTGACCCTTAACAAGACGCCACTGGACCAGGTTAATATTAACAAGACGCCACTGGACCAGGTTAATAGTAACAAGACGCCACTGCACCAGGTTAATATTAACAAGACGCCACTGGACCAGGTTAATAGTAACAAGACGCCACTGCACCAGGTTAATAGTAACTTTAACAAACAGTTTAGAATCTTACTGAGAGATACTGAGGAATTAAACAGTTATCGGCGAGGTTTGTGATAATACCTTACTTGTTTGGTTTGACTAAAACCAGCAAGCTTACTTTTCCAGCCAGACCTATTATTAGCTATATTAATGATAATAATAATAACAATAATAATAATAATAATTATTATTATAATAACAATAATAATAATAATAATATTAATTATAATAATAATAATAATAATAATAATAATAATAATAATAATAATAATTATTATTATTATAATAATAATAATAATAATAATAATAATAATAGTAATAATAATAATAATAATACCTTTATTTCTACCAGTACATGTACAAGGTATACCAGTACATGTACAAGGTATACCAGTACATGTACAAGGTATACAGACCGTAGCTGACATCAATGACATATTTCTGCACAGAAAGCCGCTTCTTATGCAGACAACATTTCTGGCAAATTAGGACAGTTTTGTCCCCGGATGCGACCCACACCAGTCCACTAACACCCAGGATGTGACCCACACCAGTCCACTAGCACCCAGGATGCGACCCACACCAGTCCACTAACACCTAGGTACCTATTTTACTGATGGATGAACATAGACAACAGGTGTAAGGCAACACGCCTAATGTTTCTACCTTCATCAGGAATCGAGCACGGACCCTCACCCTGTGAAGCGAGAGCTTCAGCCACCAGGCCACGGTCTTAAATGTAACGCCACACAAAGGATTTAGGGGCCTATTTCTCCTGTTTTTTCTGATGGTTGAACCATTGTTTGTCTCAGAATCTTGTGGAATAGATCAGTTATGTCCCTCTATCTTGACATTGCTCATCCCTCACTTATAAATGAGTCACTGTAAATGACCCCCTTTTCTAGATGTGTGAAAATTACTACGACAGTTAGCAGATATATCCATATATTTGGTATTTAAAGTCATTTATATCATATCCAGCAACTACCTCACATATATGTGGGATGGATAAGCTTGACTGTCTCTCTTTGTATAACTTATGGAAGTCTTCCTTTAAACTGACCCATTTTCTAGAGGTGCAGAAACTCCTAAGGAGATTGCCAGTGATATTCATATCATTGGCAATATAGTTATTATATATGTAAATATATTTATATCATAGTGTAGTGTAATCTAATTTATGACAATTGTCATGTTTGTTAGGCTGCTATTATAATATCAGTGCTTGTGGTCTGGCTGTTTTTCTAATACTAACATTCAGTTATTCTGGCTATGGGTATTGGGATACCTGGGGGCGCATGTGCAACATCTGGGTATCTATATTGTAGACGTTTCGCCATCCACTGGATGGCGAAACGTCTACAATAAAGATACCCAGATGTTGCACATGTGTCTTTATTTCATCTTGTCGGTATTATATACCATTCTTACACAACCTGGGGGCACTTCCTGCCTGCCTCGTGCCTCCTGCCTCGTGCCTCCTGCCTCGTGCCTCCTGCCTCGTGCCTCCTGCCTCGTGCCTCCTGCCTCGTGCCTCCTGCCTCGTGCCTCCTGCCTCGTGCGTCCTGCCTCGTGCGTCCTGCCTCGTGCCTCCTGCCTCGTGCCTCCTGCCTCTCTGCCTCCAGCAAAGCTTGGTCGACAGTAACCACCAACAGAGGTGCTGCCAAGTGAGTGTGAAACGAAAACCTGTAGTTGTTTTAGATTATGGTAGAATTTCTGGTGCCTTACATTATGTCTCATAAATATGCGGGATAACAGGTATATTTTATCGTTTCTACTTACACTTAGATCACAAAACATACATATACATGCATGTGTATACTTACCCATCTTGGTTTTCTTCTATTTTCTTAATAATTCTTGTTCTTCTTTATTTCCTTTTATCTCCATCAGGAAGTAGAACAGAACTCTTCCTCCGTAACCCATACATAAGGGGGATTACCAATAGACCCCTGGTTGTCTTCAAGAAGGCACTGGACAGGCACCTAAAGTACAGTACCTGACCAGCTGGGCAGTCGCTCGTACATCAGTTTACAAGACGTCAGAAGTAATAGCCTTGTTGATCAGACCTCGAATCATCACGAGGCCTGGTCTCAGACCTGGCGACAGGGGTGCTCACTCCCGAAGCACTCTGAATAAATGTTAACCTTGGACTAGAGATGCACTGCTGTGGTAACGTGAGGTAATGGAGTGTGTTTGGTAACGTGAGGTAATGGAGTGTGTATGGTAACGTGAGGTAATGGAGTGTGTTTGGTAATGTGAGGTAATGGAGTGTGTTTGGTAACGTGAGGTAATGGAGTGTGTTTGGTAACGTGAGGTAATGGAGTGTGTATGGTAACGTGAGGTAATGGAGTGTGTTTGGTAACGTGAGGTAATGGAGTGTGTTTGGTAACGTGAGGTAATGGAGTGTGTATGGTAACGTGAGGTAATGGAGTGTGTTTGGTAACGTGAGGTAAGGGAGTGTGTATGGTAACGTGAGGCAATGGAGTGTGTTTGGTAACGTGAGGTAAGGGAGTGTGTTTGGTAACGTGAGGTAAGGGAGTGTGTTTGGTAACGTGAGGTAAGGGAGTGTGTTTGGTAACGTGAGGTAATGGAGTGTGTTTGGTAATGTGAGGTAATGGAGTGTGTTTGGTAACGTGAGGTAAGGGAGTGTGTTTGGTAACGTGAGGTGAGGGAGTGTGTTTGGTAACGTGAGGTAAGGGAGTGTGTTTGGTAACGTGAGGTAAGGGAGTGTGTTTGGTAACGTGAGGTAAGGGAGTGTTTGGTAACGTGAGGTAAGGGAGTGTATTTGGTAACGTGAGGTGAGGGATGTGTTTGGTAACGTGAGGTAAGGGAGTGTGTTTGGTAACGTGAGGTAAGGGAGTGTGTTTAGTAACGTGAGATAAGGGAGTGTGTTTAGTAACGTGAGGTAAGGGAGTGTGTTTGGTAACGTGAGGTAAGAGAGTGTGTTTGGTAACGTGAGATAAGGGAGTGTGTTTGGTAACGTGAGATAAGGGAGTGTGTTTGGTAACGTGAGATAAGGGAGTGTGTTTGGTAACGTGAGGTAAGGGAGTGTGTTTAGTAACGTGAGGTAAGGGAGTGTGTTTAGTAACGTGAGGTAAGGGAGTGTGTTTAGTAACGTGAGGTAAGGGAGTGTGTTTAGTAACGTGAGGTGAGGGAGTTGTTTGGTAACGTGAGGTAAGGGAGTGTGTTTAGTAACGTGAGGTAAGGGAGTGTGTTTAGTAACGTGAGGTAAGGGAGTGTGTTTAGTAACGTGAGGTAAGGGAGTGTGTTTAGTAACGTGAGGTGAGGGAGTGTGTTTGGTAACGTGAGGTAAGGGAGTGTGTTTAGTAACGTGAGATAAGGGAGTGTGTTTAGTAACGTGAGGTAAGGGAGTGTGTTTAGTAACGTGAGGTAAGGAAGTGTGTTTAGTAACGTGAGATAAGGAAGTGTGTTTAGTAACGTGAGGTAAGGGAGTGTGTTTGGTAACGTGAGGTAAGGGAGTGTGTTTAGTAACGTGAGATAAGGGAGTGTGTTTAGTAACGTGAGATAAGGGAGTGTGTTTAGTAACGTGAGGTGAGGGAGTGTGTTTGGTAACGTGAGGTAAGGGAGTGTGTTTGGTAACGTGAGGTAAGGGAGTGTGTTTAGTAACGTGAGGTAAGGGAGTGTGTTTAGTAACGTGAGGTAAGGGAGTGTGTTTAGTAACGTGAGGTAAGGGAGTGTGTTTAGTAACGTGAGATAAGGGAGTGAGTTTAGTAACGTGAGATAAGGGAGTGAGTGTGGACGTAGGTGATAGACTGGGTGACAAGACTGATCTCCGGGGAATACCCTCTACCTCACTGACACTGACTGATCTCCGGGGAATACCCTCTACCTCACTCTAGGAAAGTTTTAATCCAGATATTTTTTGTGCTGGAAGGTTTGTTTACAGACAGTTGACATATTTAGTTAACATTATGTTTACTGTTTTCATATTTGTAAGACTGTCAGTCTTGTAACTTATTCAGATTAAAAACATAAATTTAAGTTAGAAAAGTGTCTTGTTTACTTACATATATCACAGGTATTACAATATATTGTAAGTGATGATGGGTGGCAGTTGATGGTTCGTAAGTTGTATATAAGGTGGAGATGTGTGGTGATGTTACTCAGTGTGAGGCTCACTCTCTCACAAGTAACACCAGGTATTAGCAGACTCACTCTCTCACAAGTAACACCAGGTATGTACCAGACTCACTCTCTCACAAGTAACACCAGGTACATACCAGACTCACTCTCTCACATGTAACACCAGGTATGTACCAGACTCACTCTCTCACAAGTAACACCAGGTACGTACCAGACTCACTCTCTCACAAGTAACACCAGGTACATACCAGACTCACTCTCTCACAAGTAACACCAGGTACATACCAGACTCACTCTCTCACAAGTAACACCAGGTACGTACCAGACTCACTCTCTCACAAGTAACACCAGGTATGTACCAGACTCACTCTCTCACAAGTAACACCAGGTACGTACCAGACTCACTCTCTCACAAGTAACACCAGGTATGTACAAGACTCACTCTCTCACAAGTAACACCAGGTACGTACCAGACTCACTCTCTCACAAGTAACACCAGGTACGTACCAGACTCACTCTCTCACAAGTAACACCAGGTACGTACCAGACTCACTCTCTCACAAGTAACACCAGGTATGTACCAGACTCACTCTCACACAAGTAACACCAGGTACGTACCAGACTCACTCTCTCACAAGTAACACCAGGTATGTACCAGACTCACTCTCTCACAAGTAACACCAGGTACGTACCAGACTCACTCTCTCACAAGTAACACCAGGTATGTACAAGACTCACTCTCTCACAAGTAACACCAGGTACGTACCAGACTCACTCTCTCACAAGTAACACCAGGTACGTACCAGACTCACTCTCTCACAAGTAACACCAGGTACGTACCAGACTCACTCTCTCACAAGTAACACCAGGTATGTCCAGACTCACTCTCTCACAAGTAACACCAGGTACGTACCAGACTCACTCTCTCACAAGTAACACCAGGTATGTACAAGACTCACTCTCTCACAAGTAACACCAGGTACGTACCAGACTCACTCTCTCACAAGTAACACCAGGTACGTACCAGACTCACTCTCTCACAAGTAACACCAGGTACGTACCAGACTCACTCTCTCACAAGTAACACCAGGTATGTACCAGACTCACTCTCACACAAGTAACACCAGGTACGTACCAGACTCACTCTCTCACAAGTAACACCAGGTATGTACCAGACTCACTCTCTCACAAGTAACACCAGGTACGTACCAGACTCACTCTCTCACAAGTAACACCAGGTATGTACAAGACTCACTCTCTCACAAGTAACACCAGGTACGTACCAGACTCACTCTCTCACAAGTAACACCAGGTACGTACCAGACTCACTCTCTCACAAGTAACACCAGGTATGTACCAGACTCACTCTCTCACAAGTAACACCAGGTACGTACCAGACTCACTCTCTCACAAGTAACACCAGGTACGTACCAGACTCACTCTCTCACAAGTAACACCAGGTACATACCAGACTCACTCTCTCACAAGTAACACCAGGTACATACCAGACTCACTCTCTCACAAGTAACACCAGGTATGTACCAGACTCACTCTCTCACAAGTAACACCAGATACGTACCAGACTCACTCTGTCACAAGTAACACCAGGTACGTACCAGGCTCACTCTCTCACAAGTAACACCAGATACGTACCAGACTCACTCTCTCACAAGTAACACCAGGTACGTACCAGACTCACTCTCTCACAAGTAACACCAGGTATGTACCAGACTCACTCTCTCACAAGTAACACCAGGTATGTACCAGACTCACTCTCTCACAAGTAACACCAGGTACGTACCAGACTCACTCTCTCACAAGTAACACCAGGTACGTACCAGACTCACTCTCTCACAAGTAACACCAGGTATGTACCAGACTCACTCTCTCACAAGTAACACCAGGTACGTACCAGACTCACTCTCTCACAAGTAACACCAGGTACGTACCAGACTCACTCTCTCACAAGTAACACCAGGTACATACCAGACTCACTCTCTCACAAGTAACACCAGGTACATACCAGACTCACTCTCTCACAAGTAACACCAGGTATGTACCAGACTCACTCTCTCACAAGTAACACCAGATACGTACCAGACTCACTCTGTCACAAGTAACACCAGGTACGTACCAGGCTCACTCTCTCACAAGTAACACCAGATACGTACCAGACTCACTCTCTCACAAGCAACACCAGGTACGTACCAGACTCACTCTCTCACAAGTAACACCAGGTATGTACCAGACTCACTCTCTCACAAGTAACACCAGGTATGTACCAGACTCACTCTCTCACAAGTAACACCAGGTACGTACCAGACTCACTCTCTCACAAGTAACACCAGGTACGTACCAGACTCACTCTCTCACAAGTAACACCAGGTATGTACCAGACTCACTCTCTCACAAGTAACACCAGGTACGTACCAGACTCACTCTCTCACAAGTAACACCAGGTACGTACCAGACTCACTCTCTCACAAGTAACACCAGGTATGTACCAGACTCACTCTCTCACAAGTAACACCAGGTACGTACCAGACTCACTCTCTCACAAGTAACACCAGGTACGTACCAGACTCACTCTCTCACAAGTAACACCAGGTACGTACCAGACTCACTCTCTCACAAGTAACACCAGGTACGTACCAGACTCACTCTCTCACAAGTAACACCATGTATGTACCAGACTCACTCTCTCACAAGTAACACCAGGTACGTACCAGACTCACTCTCTCACAAGTAACACCAGGTACGTACCAGACTCACTCTCTCACAAGTAACACCAGGTACGTACCAGACTCACTCTCTCACAAGTAACACCAGGTACGTACCAGACTCACTCTCTCACAAGTAACACCAGGTACGTACCAGACTCACTCTCTCACAAGTAACACCAGGTACGTACCAGACTCACTCTCTCACAAGTAACACCAGGTACGTACCAGACTCACTCTCTCACAAGTAACACCAGGTACGTACCAGACTCACTCTCTCACAAGTAACACCAGGTACGTACCAGACTCACTCTCTCACAAGTAACACCAGGTACGTACCAGCAAACTTTGTGTTATTCCCAGCAACAAGTTGTGAAGGCTCTCTCCTCCGTCCACTGATCTCTGACTTTTACTGTCTAGTTACCCACAACATCAGTGATAATTTTTGTTCCCAACAGATAACTGGTAAATGTTGTGTAGAGTTATTTTATTGCTCACAGAATTTGTTGAAATTTTCTTTAAATATTGAACAAATTCGATTACATGAAAGTTTCTAATTAAACAAATTATTTAGAGTTAAATAACTGGAGAAAGTTTTCTCTCGTCACTACTAAGACAAAGTTTTAAAGTTTATTGATTTAAGTTAAACCAAATCTGTCTAATGTTCTTTTTATGTTGTTATAACATTTGTCTGTCTTCATTACTTATGTAAGAAATATAACTGTTATGTGCCTTATATCTACGTAAAAGTAATATATTACTTAGTTACTTGCTTACTTATGTTCACCTTAAACGTTGATCAATATTTTTTTGAAAATACGGCGAGGGTCCGGGTTCGATTTCCGGGGAGGGTAGAAACATTGGGCGTGTTTCTTTACACCAGTTGTTTATGTTCCCCATCAGTTAAATGTGTATCTGGGTGTTAGTGAACTGGCGTGGGTCGCATCCTGGGTGTTAGTGGACTGGTGTGTGTCACATCTTGGGTGTTAGTGGACTGGTGTGGGTCGCATCCTGGGTGTTAGTGGACTGGTGTGTGTCACATCCTGGGTGTTAGTGAACTGGTGTGTGTCACATCCTCGGTGTTAGTTGACTGGTGTGGGTCACATCCTGGGTGTTAGTGAACTGGTGTGTGTCACATCCTGGGTGTTAGTTGACTGGTGTGGGTGACATCCTGGGTGTTAGTGGACTGGTGTGGGTCACTTCTTGGGTATTTAGTGGACTGGTGTGGGTCGCATCCTGGGTGTTAGTGGACTGGTGTGGGTCGCATTCTGGGTGTTAGTGGATTGGTGTGTGTCACATCTTGGGTGTTAGTGGACTGATGTTGGTCGCATCCTGGGTGTTAGTGGACTGGTGTGTGTCACATCCTGGGTGTTAGTGAACTGGTGTGTGTCACATCCTGGGTGTTAGTGGACTGGTGTGGGTCACTTCTTGGGTATTTAGTGGACTGGTGTGGGTCGCATCCTGGGTGTTAGTGGACTGGTGTGGGTCGCATTCTGGGTGTTAGTGGATTGGTGTGTGTCACATCTTGGGTGTTAGTGGACTGATGTGGGTCGCATACTGGGTGTTAGTGGACTGGTGTGTGTCACATCCTGGGTGTTAGTGAACTGGTGTGTGTCACATCCTGGGTGTTAGTGAACTGGTGTGTGTCACATCCTGGGTGTTAGTTGACTGGTGTGGGTCACATCCTGGGTGTTAGTGGACTGGTGTGGGTCAAGTCCTGGGTGTTAGTGGACAGGTGTGGGTCAAGTCCTGGGTGTTAGTGGACTGGTGTGGGTCACTTCTTGGGTGTTAGTGGACTGGTGTGGGTCGCATCCTGGGTGTTAGTGAACTGGTGTGGGTAACGTCCTGGGTGTTAATGGACTGGTGTGGGTCACTTCTTGGGTGTTTGTGGACTGGTGTGGGTCACATCTTGGGTGTTAGTGGACTGATGTGGGTCGCATCCTGGGTGTTAGTGGACTGGTGTGTGTCACATCCTGGGTGTTAGTGAACTGGTGTGTGTCACATCCTCGGTGTTAGTTGACTGGTGTGGGTCACATCCTGGGTGTTAGTGAACTGGTGTGTGTCACATCCTGGGTGTTAGTTGACTGGTGTGGGTGACATCCTGGGTGTTAGTGGACTGGTGTGGGTCACTTCTTGGGTATTTAGTGGACTGGTGTGGGTCGCATCCTGGGTGTTAGTGGACTGGTGTGGGTCGCATTCTGGGTGTTAGTGGATTGGTGTGTGTCACATCTTGGGTGTTAGTGGACTGATGTGGGTCGCATCCTGGGTGTTAGTGGACTGGTGTGTGTCACATCCTGGGTGTTAGTGAACTGGTGTGTGTCACATCCTGGGTGTTAGTGAACTGGTGTGTGTCACATCCTGGGTGTTAGTTGACTGGTGTGGGTCACATCCTGGGTGTTAGTGGACTGGTGTGGGTCACTTCTTGGGTGTTAGTGGACTGGTGTGGGTCGCATCCTGGGTGTTAGTGGACTGGTGTGGGTCGCATTCTGGGTGTTAGTGGATTGGTGTGTGTCACATCTTGGGTGTTAGTGGACTGATGTGGGTTGCATCCTGGGTGTTAGTGGACTGGTGTGTGTCACATCCTGGGTGTTAGTGAACTGGTGTGTGTCACATCCTCGGTGTTAGTTGACTGGTGTTGGTCACATCCTGGGTGTTAGTGAACTGGTGTGTGTCACATCCTGGGTGTTAGTTGACTGGTGTGGGTCACATCCTGGGTGTTAGTGGACTGGTGTGGGTCACTTCTTAGGTGTTAGTGGACTGGTGTGGGTCGCATCCTGGGTGTTAGTGGACTGGTGTGGGTCAAGTCCTGGGTGTTAGTGGACTGGTGTGGGTCACTTCTTGGGTGTTAGTGGACTGGTGTGGGTCGCATCCTGGGTGTTAGTGAACTGGTGTGGGTAACGTCCTGGGTGTTAATGGACTGGTGTGGGTCACTTCTTGGGTGTTTGTGGACTGGTGTGGGTCACATCCTGGGTGTTAGTGAACTGGTGTGGGTCGCATTCTGGGTGTTAGTGGACTGGTGTGGGTCACATCCTGGGTGTTAGTGGACTGGTGTGGGTCACATCCTGGGTGTTAGTGGACTGGTGTGGGTCACATCCTGGGTGTTAGTGGACTGGTGTGGGTCAATTCTTGGTTGTTTGTGGACTGGTGTGGGTCACATTCTGGGTGTTAGTGAACTGGTGTGGGTCACATCCTGGGTGTTAGTGGACTGGTGTGGGTCGCATCCGGGGACAAAACTGACATACTATATAGTAGTATGTCATTGATGTCAGCTATGGTCTGTATACCTTGTACATGTACTTGTATACCCTGTACATGTACTTGTATACCTTGTACATGTACTTGTATACCTTGTACATGTACTTGTATACCTTGTACATGTACTTGTATACCTTGTACATGTACTTGTATACCTTGTACATGTACTTGTATACCCTGTACATGTACTTGTATACCCTGTACATGTACTTGTATACCTTGTACATGTACTTGTATACCTTGTACATGTACTTGTATACCTTGTACATGTACTTGTATACCTTGTACATGTACTTGTATACCTTGTACATGTACTTGTATACCTTGTACATGTACTTGTATACCTTGTACATGTACTTGTATACCTTGTACATGTACTTGTATACCTTGTACATGTACTTGTATACCTTGTACATGTACTTGTATACCTTGTACATGTACTTGTATACCTTGTACATGTACTTGTATACCTTGTACATGTACTTGTATACCTTGTACATGTACTTGTATACCTTGTACATGTACTTGTATACCTTGTACATGTACTTGTATACCTTGTACATGTACTTGTATACCCTGTACATGTACTTGTATACCTTGTACATGTACTTGTATACCCTGTACATGTACTTGTATACCTTGTACATGTACTTGTATACCTTGTACATGTACTTGTATACCTTGTACATGTACTGGTAGTAAGTAAAGATATTATATTATTATCTTATATTTTTTTGAGTGTCTCATCTGACTGGCTTCATCCATTCACCTCCTGAAACTTCTGAGTGACTTCAAGTTTAACATACTGGTTTATTAGGGAACTTTGTTCACTCTGAGATAATAAGTGAAGGTCACTACAGTCTGGACTGTGTATGGTCTAATTATCTACTGTTATTGAAGAAATTTGTATATTAGGTTCTTTGTGATAACCTGTGAATAATTCTCTTGATTTACTTAAAATTTCAATGTTAAATTTTAACTCATTAGAAGCCTATGTTGTTTCGTGTATTATTCCTGTCCCGTTCACTAAGTTGAAAGTTGCTTGAGTTATGAAATACAGTGCATTATTCAGACTCGGTCAGTGACTGAAATACATTAGGTTATCTTAGGTTTCAGGTCTTCACCGGGTACAATAATATAATATTTTCCACATTCCAGGATCAGTTCTGCTGCGCTGGGAAGACATGTTAACAATGCGTTCACTGGCTTGTACTACAGCACTTCTAGTGTTGGTGCTGCTGCCTCTAACTCGTAAGTTATCACCTTCTATTATGTCTCCTTACTCTTTCTACATTCTTAGTTATAATGTTTTTGTTCTGTTTCCTTATTTGATCTATTTAATTACTGTTTCTTGTACTACAGCACTTCTAGTGTTGGTGCTGCTGCCTCTAACTCGTAAGTTATCACCTTCTATTATGTCTCCTTACTCTTTCTACATTCTTAGTTATAATGTTTTTGTTCTGTTTCATTATTTATTCTATTTAATTTCTGTTTCTTGTTATCCTGGTCTTTTTTTTTCATTATTGTGTTTGTTGCCTTCTAGTTATTACTTTTCTGTTTCATCAGTATTTTTTTGTTGCTTGTTAGTTACTGTATTTGTTTTCTCCCAGTACCTTATTGCTGCATTAACTCTCATAAATAAAGAATTACCCAATATTTCTTCCAATAGTTCGGTATATTTACTTGTTATTCATAATATGAACTTAGGACACCATCCACTCCAGCTCTTTTTACATACAAATCAATTAATTACCTTTAGTACTGAATAGAGTATGAATGTTGGGATAACTCAGTAACGGTACTAGATTTTTGCCTAGCAGATTACAGTGAACTTAGACATGGGTAACAAAGAGAGCTATCAGTATGACAGCTTTCTTAACACTATACAAGCTGCACAAAAAAAATTTATTCTTTATAAAGAAATTAGATCAAATAGAAACGACCTGAAATGGATGAATAATAGACTCAAAAATATTTTAGGACAGAGGAAAGGAATTAATAGGCGAATGTAAAGAACTGAGGGTTGGTTTAGGAGTCAATACATACACATTACGAAGGTTAAAAAAGGGAAAAGAAAAGCTAAACGAGTCTATGAAATTAAAGTTGCGAGTGACCCGAAAACTAATCCAAAAAGCTTTTTTTCCAGGTTTATGAAACAAAAGTTAGAGAAAAGACAGTCTTCCTTAAAAATAACTCAGGGCATTTTACTGGCAATGAGAATTAAATGTGCTCGATTTTTAATAATTATTTTCTCTCGGTTTTCACTCGAGAAGACACTAACAATATCCCAATAATTAATTTTTATAGTAGGCCTGAAAAAGATAAATTATGTAAAACCACAGTTACTAGTGATGTGGTTATCAAACAGGTAAACCGACTGACACAAAATAAATCCCCGGCACTGATGAATTTTTTCAAGAGTTTTTAAGGAGTGCAAAATGGAACTTTGTGAACCATTAACTAATATACTTAATATGTTTCTTCAAACAGATGTAGTGTCTGATATGTGGAAGATGGGTAATGTAATTTCTATTATTAAATCAGGGAATAAGTAGTTACCATTAAATTACTGGTCAATAAGCCTGATCTCAACTGTAAGCAAATTACTAGTTACTTATTGCTGATATTACAAGAAACCATCATGATAAGCATAATTTGATTAATGATACTCAGCATCGATTCATGAGGGGCTGTTCCTGACTAACTAATTTACTAACTATATTCAGCAAAGCTTTTGAGGCCGTTGATCACGATAAAGAATTCGATATTGTTTATTTAGATTTTAGTAAGGCTTTTCATAGAGTACTGCACCAGAGACTGTTAAAAGTAAGTGGCAGCTCATGACATTAGGATAAAAGTGATGTCATGGATCGAGTCATGACTCACCAACAGTAGTAGGGATCTGTAACAAGTGGCAGTCCACAGGGATCAGTCTTAGGCTGGTCAGAAAAGTGGTAGATGCAGTTCAATGTAGATAAATGCAAGGTTCTGAAGCTCGGGAGTGTCCACAACCCTAGTACTTATAAGTTAAATAATGTAGAACTTAGCCATACAGATTGTGAAAAGGACTTGGGGGTTATGGTGAGCAGCAACCTTAAACCAAGACAGCAATGCCTTAGCATACGTAATAAGGCAAACAGATTACTGGGATTTATATCAAGAGGTGTAAGCAACAGAAGTTCAGCGGTTATATTACGCAGCTCAGTTTTGGTCTCCATATTATAGAATGGACATAAATTTGGTCTCCATATTATAGAATGGACATAAATTTATTAGAAAACATTCATTGTAGAATGACTAAATTAATACACGGCATTAGAAATCTTCCCTATGAAGAGAGACTGAAGACCCTTAAATTACATTCACTTGTTAAACGAAGAATGAGGGGAGACATGATCAAAGTGTATAAGTGGAAGATTGCAGAGTCGTCACTAGAGTTGGTGTCACCCGGAGAGGAATTGCTGGTGTCACCCAGGGCAGCATCTTCGGTGTCCACTGGACAAAAAAAACACACTCACGGATCACATATACGTGGTCACGAGAGATCCACGGAGATTGGATACGGAACACTGGTGTGAAAAGGAAATCGTAGGACAGAGAGAGTGTTGTGTTCAATTGGAATATATATCTGTGTTAGTCTACGCACAGATTGGCGACGTTTCTAGAGGTCCTTGGACTGTGTTCAGTGCTTCAGGGCAGTGAGCCACGTGAGGGTGGCTACGGGCCCCGACTGGGGCACTGAGCCTCACAGCTATGCACCCAGTGTGGGCGGCTGTGAGGTCACAGGCGGCAGCTCCGCTGCTGGCTCTGTCCCCACACCTACAGTCACCATGACAGACCCAAGAGAGCGGCCTAAACGTTCATTGGAATGCGGGGACGAGTTGGAGGATGACGTGGGGCAGGTGGGAGCCCCAACCAAGAAGGCCAAGGATGCAGTGGAGACTACTGTATCTGCCAATCTGCTACTAAATCCGTCGGCAGCCGCTACCCAAAAAGACTTGCACCTTCAGATGGCCATAGGGATCGTGGAAGGAAGCCAGGAGGCTGTAGCTCCTCAACTGGCAAGGACAGAGCCATCCCAGGTCCCTACTCCAGTTGCATCGGCCTCAACAGTGGACGGGGACTGGCTGACTCCACGTGGAAGGAGGAATTCCCGCTCAGCTCGGGCACAAGCAACCAGGGCATTCAAAAATTCAAGGTTCCCGATTACGGGTTTGTAAGGTATCTGGAAGGTCTACCCCACCTCAAGTTCCACTGCGAGTTCACTCTCAGGAACGAGGTTCTGGTCATTCCTCGGGTCGAAGATTCTTACGAGGAGTTGAAGGGGCTGGTTGAGATGCATCCCAGCATGGTGGAACTGGTTGCTTCGGAGAAGGTGTACAAGGGGGTGTTCTTACCCATCCCTGTGCCCGTCCCACTGGACCCCATTTTGGAAGTGCCCAATACTGTCAAGGCGGAGTGACTCACTGCAACGGTGAACAAGGTACCCACCAGCCAGGTGCTGATCCACCACAAAGGTCCACTTCCCACGCACCTAGACCTTGGTGTCTCGGGAAGATTCAAGACCCAACCACACATGTCGGGCCCAGTAAAATGCTTCAACTGTCAGGGGTCCAATCATATTGCAGCCACCTGCCAGCGAGAGAAGTGTGGTGTGTGCAGCAAGGCACACGACTCGAAGGACTGCATTGCAATCCTCAAACAGACAACCGGCAAAGCCCTTCGGCCGGAGCCCAAGTGTGCCAACTGCTCAAAGAGGCACCATGCCTGGAACCGGAGCTGTCCTGTGATGGTGCAGCACTGGCAGCAGGTTCGTCATTGGAATGACGCAACAGCCCCAACGCCACCCAGCCTTGGAACCACCCAGCAACAGGCAGTATGGGCTCCAATTGCGGTTCCCCGGATACCGCAGGAGGGCAATACCAGCGAATTCCCAGCATTGGGCTTCCAGCAGTGGCATCAGGGGGCACGCACTGGCTTACAGCAGTGTGGTCAACTAAGGGGTCAGATGGCAAGGTGGCCAGGAAGACAGAATCAATGGGAAAAACAGCCACAGGCCAGGCACACTGCCCAGCAGGTCACAGCTGGGCAGCAACATTCCTTGCCATCCCGCCAAAAGGCCTCTTCCCAAGGGAAGGCCCCTACTGTGAGCAGCCAGAATAAGGCAGAGGTTCCTCGCCGGAGGACTCAGAAACCCATGGCCATTCAGGCCGGGCCCAGGGTGCACCCAGCTTATGCTGCTGCAGTGTCAACAGCCACCCAGACATACCCAGTGGCCCAGCCCCTACTCGACGGGTCGTCCAGCTCAATGCCTGCAGAGGTAATGGTCGAATCATTTCCTGATCGACTGAAGAAAACCATCGGGGTCATCTCCGCGCTCCTCTGTCGCCTGCTGCCGTCGGCGGAGGACAGGGGCGCCTGCAGACAGGTCCTGTCATGAATGCTGGGCGTGGTCCTACTGGACAGGAAAGACTCAATGGAACTTCAAGCCATCATCCTGGAGTCCTTCCAGTCCATGATGAAGGAGGCCCCGGAGTCACCAACAACTTATATACCTATTATATCTATGTGACTCTGATGGGTTAGTATTATACCCCTTAAAGAATATCTTATCAATTCACATACACTTTTTAAATTACACCAAAGTGGTTGGGCCACTTACCTTTTATATCCTACCTCTCCCCCCCCCTCCCACCCTTTTCCAATATTTCCATCCTTACCCATCCTTCTTCCTTACCCATCTTACCAAAGCTCTGGTCATGAGAACTCGAACTCGAACATTGCACATCGTACCTACAATTAGAATTAGCTCAACAATTTCAATAATGCCATACGTAGAACCATTCTACCCAATTTGCATAATAAAGAGCCGATTGTATGAAGGAACATTTCACAATTATCATAATTTTACCCTAACCTAAGCCTAGCATTCCATCTGTAATATAAATGTCTAATCAACACGAAAATTTACCATATACCCCTAACCATATTCGTTGGTGTACATGATACAACCTTGTATTACCATAAAGAAAAAATAGAACAATAAAAAGGAAAACCCACTCTTCACCTCTAAAATTCAGACTTCAATTTACCATTCAGGTACATACATATAAATAATTATATAAAGCATATTGTCAAATTTAACACAATCACTTCCAACGTCTGTTATAATAATACGTCGGCCCAACCAAGAATAATTCATTCATTCTTTTCAGCTTCAAGGTCTCCTAAAAATCTTAACTACATACATA